AGTCAGGGAGGCCCTGGGGCTTCTCCAACCCAGCCGGGTGGGGTCAGGGCTAGAAGGAAATGAGGAAGAGGAGGAGGAGGCTCTGGCCTAGTAGGAGCAGGCCTGTGGGCTGTTGCCCAGAGACCCCTTCTCCCTTGGCTGCAGCCTCAGGGCCCCTAGTACGGCTGAGGTAGATGATGACTACATTGTCCTCAGGACCTGATGGTTGCACCTCATTGTCAACAGTATAGCAGCCCTTACCCTCAGCTGCTTTGCCATGGAACCTGCGCCCCAGGGCATCCTCACCACCTTCGCCCGGTGTGGCCAGTGCCACGTTCACTGAGCTCTCCGCACTGCCCAGCTCGTTGGTGGCCAGGCAGCTGTAGGTGCCTTCCTCCAGCTTGCCAAAGTCAGGGATGAGCAGGCTGCCATTGGCAAAGGCCTGGAAGCGTGGCCGGCTACTGGCCACCAGGGAACCGGGCAGGGCATGCCCATCCGCACCCACATTGGGACTGGCGATCTCCACCGTGCCGCCAGGTGTCTGGATGTGCCAGTGGAGCTGGGGGGCTGGCTGCCCTTCCACGTCACAGTGGAGCGCCAATACAAAGCCAGGCCGCAACTCTGCACCATCCTGGCTGGGCTGGTAGGTGAGCTGCACCAAGGGTGCAGAGCAAGGCAGTGGCAACAGACGGTTCAGCGGTGTGCCCTTGAGCACATGAGGCGAAGTGCAGGTGATGTTGTCCTGCTCTGGGATGGACACGACTGTGGTCAGGGCCCACGTCTTGAACCACATGATGCTGCAGGTACAGTCAAAAGGGTTGTCATTAATCTGCAGATGGGACAGTGCGGTAAGTGGCATGAAGGTGCCCTCTGCTAGCGTGTGCAAGCGGTTGTGGTTGAGCTGCAGCGAGCGCAGGGCGCGAAGGCTGCGGAATGCATCGCGAGGGATGAAGGTCAGCTCATTGCTGTCCATCTTGAGCAACTGGAGGGCGCTGAGGTTGTGCAGGTCGCTCCAGGCAAAGTCGGAGATGAGGTTGTGGCTGAGGTCCAGGCTCTTGAGATGGCCCAGAGATGCCAGGGCACCAGCAGCCACTGTTCGGATCTCGTTGTGTGCCAGCCACAGTGACTGCAGCAGGGGCACCTCCCTGAAGGCGCCCTCTGGCAGGCTGGGCAGCCGGTTAGCTGACAGGCTCAGTGTGGTCACATTGGCCGGGAAGCCAGGTGGCACAGCCTCCAGGTCGCGGTAGGCACAGTCGGCGATCTGGAAGCCATACTTCTCCCCGCAGTCACAGGGCTCAGGACAGGCCTGCCCCAGGCCCAGGAGGACCACCCAACACAGCAGATGCAGCTTCTGCATCCTGCCTCCTGCAGAGAAGGACACGCCGCTGAGGTGACCCCAAGGACCCGTGGAAGGCAGTCATCCCTCTCAGGACCCCAGCCCAGAACTCTTCCCCATCAGAAGGCCCTGCACCAAGTAATCCAGCTAAGACCCAACAGCACCTAACCCACTACCCCTATTCTACAGAAGAGAAAACTGAGGCCTAAAAAGGGCCAAAACTTGCCAGAGATCATGCAGCCAGGGCGGGTGAAGACAGGACGGAAGAGGACCCCAGATCCTCCTCCGAAAGGGAAGCGTTCCCTGCCTCGGCCAGCTCCTAGTTGACTTTGTGACTTGAAATCTGTTTTCCAGTTGCCCCCTCCCCCAGCACTGTGCAGAACCTCCCTCCTGCCCTCCCACATCCTGGCCACAGTCCCTCCCACCGGAGCCCCCCATAGGTACGCTTTGCCTTGGCCCAGACAAGGCCCCTTGTGCAGTGCACACCGCCCCCATCTGCCCCGCAAGCCCCCTCCTGCTCCTACTGGCTGTGACCACAGCAGACACCAGACCCTTTTTACCCCCATGGCCTGTTCTGTTCAAACTACACCAGGCAGCTGCCTAGATAAACTCCGCCAGGACTTCTCAGTTGGCTTGGGGGAGGCCAGCAGCTCAACACAAATGCTCTGAGATTTCCCGGCTGTGGTTGTTCAAGGAGCAAAAGCTCCCTGGACAGGTCCAAACAGAGATTGTCCCAAACACCCCGAACCACCAGGAAAGTACTCAAGGGACCCCTGGGACCAGCAGGCTTCCCCCTCATCCCACTGGCCCTTGGAGCCCTCCTCTCGCTGGCTTACCTTCAAAATACTCTTTCTTAGCCAAGCCGAGCCTCTCCGAAGATGGAACCAGAAAGCAACAAAGGCCGGAGTTAGGCCAGGACAGTCTGCAGGGCCAACGGGGTAAGAGGAGGTAGCTGGAGGTAGGGATAGCTTGGTTCCTGCCCTACCTTCAGTTTGTACCCTGAGCCCGTCCTTCCCCTACAGGGTACCTGGGACCAGCTGCTGAGAAAAGGCTGCAGGAAGGGAGCCCAGGCAGCTTGTACACTCCCTCCTTCCAGCAAAACAACTGCTTCTCTACAGCAACAAGGACCTGTGTTTCATAAGTGACACCAGAAACTTGAGGGGGAAAAGACGCCAAATTTTTTTTTGTTTTTTTTTTTTCTCTCTCTCACTCACTTTTAGCAGCTTCAACTTCCTTAAAGGCACAGCACTAGCTGGACAGGACCTAAGAAAAGACGGGGCAGAGGGTTTTTATGGTGGGACAAGTGAGAAATTGAATCTCAAGGAAAGTGGGAGACTTCTAACCTCATTTCAAACAGGAAATAAGGGGGCCATTCACCAAGCTGGGGTAGTATGAGTAATTATGAGTGTACTTGTGTGTGCATGTTTGAGTGTGGATGTGACATCTCTGTGTGGGGATGAGTTTGCATGTGTGTTTGTATGGATGTGGTTGTGAGGCTATCTGTGAGTTTGCATGTGTTTGGGAATGTTTGAGTGTGTGTGTGTTTTAGTAAGTGTGAGACTATCTTTGTGTGTGTGTGTGTGTGTGTGTGTATCTATGTAGGTATGTAAGAGTTTGTATGCGTATTTGGGCATATAGTTGTATGTTTGTATGTAGAAGTTGAGTATGCATCTCTGCATCTGCGTGTCTGTGTGGGTATGATAATACTTGTAACTAATTCAATTCCCAAGTCTCCCCAAGTTGGATAAATCTCCTCTGGACATAAGTAAATACAGAAAGTCCTCTATCAATTTTATCCTCTGGAAGAACTCTCTTCCTGAGCCTTCTAATCTGCTCAATTCGGTTTCTTTAAAGGCCTGCCATGCTACAGGCTCGCGGGGATGGTCCACCTCCTTTACGCAGGCTCCCTGTTACCTCTCTTGGGTTGGATGTCTTGCTTCTTGAATCTCACATTGTCCTCTCTTTGGTTTGCTCATTTTGGTGATGGGTCAAAGGCATAATGGCCACCATAATGAGAAGGTAATGAAGACCAACAAATGAGGCAGGCAACTCCATAGAATATAACAGAATTTATTACAGGGTAATTTAGTTACGGGAAGATTGGGTTGGAATGGAACAGACAACCCAGCAATTCTACACAGATTATTCTCCACTACAGACTTCTGTTACTGTACTTCTTTTACAGTATAACTCAGGGACAAAGAATGCAGTAGTGCCTGGGGCCATACTTTATTATGGTCTTGTGATAGATGATTGTTTATAATCCATACTCCCACCAGTTTAATGTTTATCTTAGTTGTCATGCCATTCTAACAGAAATATTTATTGCTACATTTTAAGGAAGACAGATAATCATCAACTAGAAAGCTTCGATGTGCTTGCTAAAGACAGTGAGGTTGGTCAAAGGTCACAGCATGAAACTTAAAAATGAAATAAAATCTGGGACACAGAGATGGAGTGAGTTTTGTTCGCATCAACATCTATACAACATCTTCCAATAGCTTCCAGAAAAGGTAAGTGAGAGATATGTGTTTTGAGATCTTGCATGTCTGAAAACTCTTCATTCTGTCCTGAATCTTGACTGATAGTCTGATTGGGTATAGAAATCCAGATGGAAATCTTTTTTCCCAAGAATTTTAAAGGGGGCTCTCTCTTTAATGCTGTTGCTTTAATGTCGCTCACAGTGCTGGTGCGAGGGGTCCTCAGTTCTCTGACCTCGATTCTGTGCATGATACCTGGGGTTTTTCTTTCTGGAAGCTGCAGGACCTTTTATTTCTTCCATGTTCTGATGATTCACTGTGTTGGGCCTTGGTGAGGGTCTATCCTTTCAAATTGGAAGTTCATATTTTTCAGCTCTGGAAAAGTGTTTGATTTACTCCTTTATGATTTCCTGACCTCCATTTTCTCTGTTTTCTCTTCCTGGAACCTCAATAACCAGATGTTGTGCTCCCTGGAGGAATCCCAACTTCCTTATCTTTTCCCTCTTTACCTTTCTGTCCTTCATTCTAGGAGACCTCCTCAATGTTATCATTCCACCCTTCTAATAGACCTTTTGATTTCTGCTGTATAAATTTTAAATTTCAAAGATCCCTTTTCATTTGCTGAATGTTTTCTTTAAAATATATTGCATGGTAACTGGAGTTGATTTAAAAATAAAATATATTGCATCCTGTGCTTGTTTCATGGATACATTTTTATTTCTCTAAGGATAATAATGGCCCTTTTATTATTTTTTTAAGTTTCCTCCTATCTGCATTGTCCATTTCCTTCAAGTTGCATTTTTTTTTTTCTATTTGCTTGCCTATTTAGGACTCTGTCTTTCCTATCAGAGGTTTCCTCAGTTAACTCATTCAGCAGAAATTTATTCCTGTTTTTAATGTGAGACCTCTGTACCAGAGAGGAAGCCTGTTGAAGACCGACATCTTGTCCTTTCAGATGTTGTTGATCCCTGGCACAGAGAAGATACTCGATAAATACTCCATGACTCGATGAATTGGTGAGTTGAATGGGCATCAGATGCCAGAAATGAAAGCACTTTAGAGGTCAACTTCTCCTCATCCTCATTTTACAGGTAGGGGTTCAGGGTCACATGGCTCCTTAGGACAGATCATTTTAAGACTATTTCACACAATATGAGAGACCCACACTCTGTTGGGTGTGTGTGTGTGTGTTACTAGCCTTCTTGGGGGAGGGGAGCCCATTTCTTATAGTCAGAGACCTTGATGGCTGCCCTCAGAATCCCACGGTGAAACAGCCATGGGAGCCTGAGGGCAGGAGAAGAGAGAAGGACCTGCCCACCTAGGCAGAACTGAGTCTGCACTGACAGCTCTTCCCCATCTGCCCAGATCTCACCTTCACCAGAAAAGACAACTGGACAAGGGCTACCAGAACCCAGAGGGCCTCAGCTAATAACTAGTGAATCCTCCATGGCTCTTCACTGTAGGACACACAGAGCCACCCCCTGCTGAGTCCAAGGAGTGGTTATGCACGCCTCCAGGATGGGGGCTTATTATCTCCTGTGCAGCCCCTCTACTCCCATAGGCTGAAAGTCCTCTGAAAAGCCCATCCCACAGGAGATAATGCAAACAGGCCAGGAGATAAGCCAGAGGTCAATTCCTCTTCCTCATTCTAGCCCAGGAGCTCCCTGTTGGCTGCCAGGCTCCCTGAACTGGGCTCAGGCCTGGAGATGGGGGCCTTGTTGAGTATGGGGATTCCTTGATTGTCCCCAGGTTATAGATGGAGGGCAGAGGTCCCTCCACTAACCCTGGGTCCTTAGGAGCCCTACTATGATGAAAGAGAAAATTAGCAGCAGGGGTGGGGGGATTAGGGGAAGCCAGGTCTGGGAACGCCTTCTGCCAGTTCCTCCCTGGCGCCTGTGGGCCTCAGAGTAGAGTACTCCAGTTTGCTTAGGACTGAGGGATTTTCTGGGATGTGGGAGTTTTAGCAGTAAAATCTGACAGTCCCAGGCAAACCAGGACAGTTGGTCACCCTGGTAGGGGAGATGGTGCCCACTGCCCGTCCCCAAGAGCTTTTCCTGGCCCCTCTTCTCATCCCTCCCTGCCCAGAAGAGGCCCAGCCCTTTCTCCTCCCATTCCTCCCTCCTTCTCCTCCCACCAAGGCGGCCAATCCCTCTCCAGCTGCCACTGCTCAGCCTGACTTCCCCCGCCCCAGAGGCCCCACTCCCTCTGACCAGGGGGCTGCTAGAGGCCACGTCAGCTTTTCCTGGAAGGCGAAGAAAGATCGTGGAGAGAGAGAGAGAAAATAGAGTGAAAGGAACAGAGCCCAGCAGAGAGAGAACTGGAGAGAAACTGAGAGATGGAGAAATTGAGAGAGAAATGGGGAGAATGAGAGAAAGCAAAGAATCACCAACAGCCAGGGTAGACATGAAGGCAGAGAAAGGAAGCAACATGGAAAAAGAAATGGAGAAAGAGGGTCTGATGGACCTTAAAATAAGCTCCAAGAGGGAAGAGACAGCGGCACTCAGATGTGTGGCCGGCTGTGGTTGTGGTGCTGTTGCCATCATGCCAAGAGGGGCAGGATGGTCTTGATCTCAACCCCACATTCCCTTCACACAGCTTGTTGGAATAATTGGGAGGAAGCTCAAATACTCTGAGAGGGACTCATTTAAGCCTGTGGGTCTCATGGCTTATGAGAACATGAAGCTATGGACGGAACTCTGCTGGAGCATGTGAGCGTGTGTGTGCACGGTGGGTCAGGGGAATGTTGAGATCTGCCCAGATTGCCAAATTATGGGAATTGAGAAAGTCTTTCCCTTTCTAGGGCCTCAGTTTCTCAGTCCTATGTGGAAGCTGGATGAGATGGGCTAATGCCTTTTGGCCCTGAGGCTGTCATTTTAGAATTTCTAATATCTGTACTTACAAGAAGTGTCTGTATGCGCCCATGTGTTTGTGCACAATTATTTCTATTTGCACATATATGAGAATGCGCTTGCTTTCCATGTGTTTGTTAGTGCGTGCACACCTGCGTGTATATAGGGTGGTATGAGTACAAGCTCATTGCGTAGGCACCTGAAGCTGTGGGAAGGGGTGGCAGGGCAGGCCCCATCTTCTCTCCTGCATCAGCCTTAGCCCAGAGGCCCCAGCCATGGCAGAGCTGACCTGGCCCCAGGCTGACCCCACAGTGGGTGCCCTTTCTCTCTGTTCCCTTTTCCATCCTCTACCTTCCTCTTCACACCCCTCTCCCTCACTCAGGTGTGAGGCTCATTCTCCCACTTGCTGCATCCAGCAAGTGGTAAACCCTGCCATGTCCAATGCGGCCCTGGAAAATAAACCTGAGTAGGAACTGTGGGAGATTGAGAAAAGAAAGAAGACAGAAAGCTGGGATCAGGAGGTCCACTGTCCACTGATGGTAGACAATGGCGCAGTTTTATTTTTGCGAGCTGCTTTTATACAAGAGCATACAATTTCTGGCTAAGATAAGATCATCCTCTGCACAATCACTCAGTTCACACCCTGCTATGATCTTTTGCAGTTCCGTGCTCCCGCTATGAGCATACTCCCTGCCTCGAAGCAGCGCCGCCTTGTTACTTTTCCATTCTTAAGAGCAACGCCCGCATTGTTACTTTTCCATTCCATTAATTTTTGTTGAGGTGAGGCAACCCTTGGTTGACCTCATAGACTGCAAGGACCTTGTCAGTTTACAATCTGCTCTCCACATCCACCTCTCTGGGTCTCAGTTCTTCAGACCTTGGAAATGTGGTCTGGCCTCATCTCTTCCTGCCCACTGTAACCAGCCCCGAATATCATTGCTCCCACCTTGGGGCTGCTGCTCTTGCTCTTTTCTTGAACTGGATTCCATTCCCCTGTTTTTGCAGGGCTCACTTCCTCTTATCTATGGAGACTTTCAAATGTCAGTTTCTCAGAAAGGCCTACCCCGACCACCTTATATAAACAACCTTTGTCGCTCTCTGTTCCCTCTTGTTGCTTCATTTGTTCCCCTTCTCAACACCTGCCCTGACATATCTGTGAGCATATTTCTTGTCCATCTCCCTAATCTGAATGTGAGCTCCATGTGAGTGGGTTCTTGGTTTGGTCACTGCTCTACCCCAAGCCTGCAAAGGGCTAGCAACTAAGTGGGTGCTCAGTAAATAATTGTGGAATGAAGAATGATCCCTGTGCTTCCAGCAGGAAATCTCTGGCCCCCATCCCTCCTCCACTTGCCCAGGGACTGGCCAGCCCCGTCCCTTCCATGTGGCACTGCCCTCCCTCTCACTGGTCCCTCTCCAGCTACCATTTCTGTCCCCTCCTCACCCTGTACCCTCCTCACTACCCTCTCCTGACCTTTCCCTTAGTCCAAAGGGACTCTTTTTAGCAACAGCACTAACTGGAGCATATTTCACAGAAATTATTTTTGTTCTTTCCCAGGTCGATCTCACAATATCTAGGAATTCAGACCTTGGCCACACACCCAGGGCACATAGCAGATCTCCACTTTCAGCCCCAGCCCCTCCCAAAGGCTAGGGGTAGGATTGAGGAATGTTATGAGATTGAGTCGAATTAAAGTTCTAGACTGGGGCTGGAGTTAAGGGTCAGGATCCCAGTCCCTTTGTTAGCTGTGGGGTGCTAGGAATGGGGCAAGGGCCATTTGTTAAGGGTCAGTTTGAAAGGCTAGGATTAGATGTGGGTGCAGGTTTAGTGGGTGGGGCAGGGTAGTTTAATCCCATGTATGAAGCTGGGTCCGGGGTCTGGAATG